GGGGGGGGATGTGGAGGATTGTACTCGTTTTATTTTGTCGGAAGGACTGTCTGAAAGAAGAGGGCCACATTGTACATGTTTTATGACCTATCATTTTGAAACATAGAGGTCTCGTGAATAAAATAGGAACTGTGAAACGCAAATCGGCTTTAGATTGATGACAGAAAGAGAAGAACATTTTGATGACGAGAGAATGTTTGCTTCTGTAAGAAATTGCGCACACAGGAGCAGAAACATGTACAGTTGCATTGAATTACACGAATAGCGACCGTATTTAAAAAAATAAAACACACTATCAAAACAATGTAGTGAAAGTCCACTGTTGATTCTGTAAGACAAAGTCACGCAGTAGTTTGGTAGTAGCAGAGGTCACCATGATTTTACTGACTTTGAACACTCTGCTGCTAGTTGCTTGGTCACTGAACACGAATGTCCATGGCTGCCAATTTTCCTGCCCAGCTTTGCTTTATAGCCACCCCCCCCCCTTTTTTTTTAAACCCTTCCCCGCACTCATCACTTTCAACACATTCGTGTGTTTGTACTTTGTGGCTCGGGAGAACAGTTTAGGGTCATGTCTGCAGGGTTCAGGGTCATGAATGTTTGGTTCAAGGTCGTGGCTGTGGTCAATGCCTATGCTCCACGTCCTCTATCCACCCCTCTCCTTTCCACATAGTCCCATTCAACTGTTCGCTTCATTGTCATACATACAGATTCCGGCTTAAATATAATGTTTATAGTGAAATATACAACGTGTAAGTTTATAATTCATAATATACGCATATAATGTAACCGATTGTGGTGGTGGGTATGGTACAGCCTGTGTCCCTGGCTCATGACAGTGGGCCCTGTTCTTTGAAAGTCTCGGTGTGTGACCAGCTATGCTCTTGTCTTTTGGTGTCTTGAGCTGTCATTTATTTATGGTAGACTTTTTTGACAAGGGTAAAGTGTGTGTGGGGGGGGGGGGGGGGTGTAACATTTTTTTGGACAGAACGTTAAGGAATTCTTATTTTTGGTGATTTTTTTGTGTAGTCTTGCCATGAGTACTTTTGTCGGCCAACACATTTGTTTCGTTTCCGTTCTCTTTCTTAAAGCTGTTGTGCATCTCTTATTCAGCTCAACGTGTACTTTAATGTCGTATGGTATAGGTATAGGTTTAACGCCCTTATCAACACTATAAGGTTATTTAAGGGGCGGGACCTCCTAGTTTAACGTCCGTCTCCGATAGGACCTTTAATGTCGTAGGCCTTCAAATCATGAAATGAATACCCAAAAGTTGGGGTACTGGTTGTAGGGGTGCCACTGGTTGATCCTCTGTGGTTTCTGTCTGTCTTTTTTTTTTCTTTTCCCCGCCATGAGTGCCAATTATTGTGTCGATGTGCTTCTTGTTGCTCAAACAAAGGGTGGGGGAGGGGGTGCACGTTGTCCGGTGGAGATTGCTATAGAACGCCTCACAATCATAGTTCATTGTGACGGTTGACATTTTAGTCCACATGTATGGCGGGTTGGAAAGAGATGCCTGCTTCAGTAAAAAAAAAATTACAGGGTATAGTCTGCTGTACATAGAGCAACTTACTTAGAGAGCGTAAACGGATGGGTGAGGAGGAAAGATCGGGACAATGAAGCTTTTTTGAGAGAATCCGAATAAAGGAATGCATGGAGAACCTAGATCGCCGATGTTTATCGTATATCTGGCATTTGATCACTATGACGATAGTCTGCTAAATCATCTGCTGCAGCCCTGTTTGGTTTTACAGGCATGATGATCAATGTGAAACAGTCTACCACGGAAAAGCAAAATGCTAATTGAGCCACTTTCCAAGCTCTGATATCCTACAGGAAGAGGACACGATATCGTTAATAGTTTATGATTTATAGAGGTCCCGGCCACCCATGTCTAGGTGCTGTTTTAGCCATGCAGTACCGACTTGACGATCAAGCACATTATACCAGAATTCCCAGACTTTGAAGAGACCCGAAGAAAATATTTTATGCACTAATTTAAAGAATTTATTCTCCGTAGAATTCCCAAGACCATTGGTCTCTACCCCAAAATATAGATTATAGTGTTATTTTTTAAAAATATATTAACTACTGTTTATTTACTTCTTTTAAACTGAACATTTACCTTGAATTTTAAACTATTTTTACAAAGTAAAAACCAATCGGTGTTATGAACCAAAGTGAAAATAACCAACTTGAGTCCCTCACACTCATGCAGTTGCGAACACCTTGGCACTCCTACCAATATAATACCTCCCAAACTCGGAGACCGCGCCTTTGTAAGGTCTTGTAAGGCCCAGTGATTGGATTCTTTTTAAAGTAAAACCACTACCATTGTCATGGTTAATGAAACCTGTCAACTAACAATTATCAAGCGTGTAAGAATCGAGCAAAAAATTGCTCGTTCAACCTGGTGTTGAACTGTGAGGTTAGTTCTTGTGGACAAACGGTTATTCAACAGATGTTTTTTTCGCCGTTGGAAGTGTCATCTTTGCCATTCCACATTCTGCCGTACTCAGACCAGTCCATGTCGCAATATTGTCCGCCCACGTTACTCTTTGTCTACCCGCGGCTCTCCTACCACACATCCTTCCTTTCACAATGGTCTAATGGCGCTTTACATGACCGAAATGTTGCCATTTTCTACGTTTTACTTTAAGTTCTTGTGTGGGGAATCTGACACGCCTCATTGTTAGTCTGTTTTGCTTTCCAGCGTATTCTGGTATTTTCTGCGATATCACTATGTTGATGATGCGCTTTTTTAAGTTACCGCCAAAATGTAGGAGAAACAAGGCTTGACAAGTGTCACAGATGCCCCCAACCCTTCCCCCCCCCCAATCTAAAA